GCCTGGGAAAAATGCAAGTCACAGACACATCTGCGGCTGTTTTTTTCCCAAAGAGGTTCTGAAGAGATTTAGCATTTATGCATTTTCCTTAAAACGGGGAGGCAGTGAGCCACACTTGTGATGGTGATATACTTGTGAGCCTTTAGTCAGTGCCCAGTAAACTGACATTTTACATAAAATAAGTTGAACATTTAAAGAAAATCGGAATAGAGCAGGCAGCTGTCTCAGGGAGGGTGAAGGACTGATTTATCTCATCTTGTCTTTGTTCTGTATCCGAGAAGATATAAGCCAGTAATCGACATTGTCAGTGTGGATAATGTGGGTTTTTCTTTTGAGACACAGTTTCACTCTGTCGCCCAGGCTGGAGTGCAGTGGCATGATCCTGTCCCAATACAACTTCTGCCTCTGAGGATCAAGCGATTCTCCTGCCTCAGCCTCCTGAGTATCTGGGACTACAGGTGCACACCACCATGCCCAGCTACATTTTTTATTTTTAGTAGAGACAGGGTTTCACCATATTGGCCAGGCTTGTCTCTAACTCCTAACCTCTCGTGATCTGCCTGCTTCAGCCTCCCAAAGTGCTGGGATTACAGGTATAAGCCACCATGGCTGGCCTTTTTTTTTTTTTTTTTTTTGAGACGGAGTTTTGCTCTTGTTACCCAGGCTGGAGTGCAATGGCGCGATCTTGGCTCACCGCAACCTCTGCCTCCTGGGTTCAAGCAATTCTCCTGCCTCGGCCTCCCGAGTAGCTGGGATTACAGGCACGCGCCACCATGCCCAGCTAATTTCTGTATTTTTAGTAGAAACGGGGTTTCACCATGTTGACCAGAATGGTCTTGATCTCTTGACCTTGTGATCCATCCGCCTCGGCCTCCCAAAGTGCTGGGATGACAGGCGTGAGCCACCACGCCTGCCCCCCCCCCCCTTTTTTTTTTATTAGTAGAGATGGGATTTGCCCATGTTGGCCATGGCTGGTCTCACATTCCTGGCCTCAAGTGATCCACCCACCTCGGCCTCCCAAAGTGCAGGGATTATTGCTGGCATGAGCCACGCCTGGCCTCAGTGTGGAGTCTTTTGGAGCACCCAGTTTCTGTTTAGCCCTTAGGGAAGAAAGTCTAGAGGTGGTTAGAGACGGAGGGAGCATAACAGGCCTGTCTGACATCCTACCCCATCATGGCTGGGACTCAGCTTCCAAGGTGTCTCCATGGTCCCCTTGACCAGGAAGGAGTCTATTCAGTCAGTTGGAGGCTTAGAATATTATTTTTACTTCCCATTATAAGTACACAAAAAATATATTCACAAATAAATTAATACTATCCTATGATTTACATCTATTTTGTGGTTAATTATGTCTAATTTGATTAATGGTGTATAATTAATACACATATATAAATAAGAAAAACAACTATAAAATAATAGATTTTAAAACCCCTTTTACTTTTAAGTCTGTAATTAATTATGAATTTGATTCCCCTCCAGGAAAATACGATACTTTTAAATAAAGACCAAAGCAACATATTTAAACATAAATTCAAAAGCCAATATACTGTATTTATAAAGGACACCCTGATGTTATGAATAGTGAATGAGAAAGCAATTGCTGAGACCAGATCTGTTTTGTAGACTTTTTGTATAGCTTTTGTACTGAGAAGGCTTTGCATTGTTCTCTCACAATAAAAAATGCAAATAAGCCAATGAGAAATTCTTGAATTCGTAAATTACAACTTAAAACAATTTAAAAAATCCCCTTTATCAAATAGGCAAAGACAAAAATCACGAGCATACACAATGCTGAAAGAGAGATAGGACTGAGCCGTCTCAAACATGGGAAGCCAGATCAGAACTGGAGCAGTGTTGCTGGAAAGGAGCATGATGATACCCATTAAGAACCTCAAAAATGTCCATTACCATGGACCTATACAACCATTGTCACAATTGTGTTCTTAAGAGTCAAGGCATGCAGTACATGATGTCTTTAAAATAATATGATTTTCAGTCTTGTTTTTTAAAAAACTGTAAGTAATCTAAATGCTCAACAGTGGGAAAGTGGTGAAGTAGAACTGAGACAGCCAAGTATAAAGGGGTATCCGGAGAAACTGACTGGCCTGTGCACTGGGAGAAAGGGATGACGCCTTGGGAAGTTTGTGCTGTTTGCGGCAGGGAGGAGCCTGGCTTCTCCTGATCGCGGTAGCACCTGGGATTCGTGCTTTGCTGAGAGTACCTGTTACCCTTTTTCTTTTCCTTTTTGCCCAATAAGTTACATTTTTCTCACCCTCAAAAGAGTCTGCGGGCCTAATTTTTCATAGTTGTGTGACAAGGACCCCGTTTTTAGCTGTACTAAAGAAAAAGTTCATACAACAGCATATTCCCACATGACAGAATTCCAGGTACCTATTTATTTTTAAAAAAACTGTTTTCATGGTAAAGGAAATCTATTATTCTTTTCATTTTTTAATTTTTTTATGACAGGGTCTCACTTTGTCACCCAGGCTGGAGTGCAGTGGCACAAACAGCTCAATGCAGCCTTGACCTCTCAGGCTCAAGCCATCCTCTTGCCTCAGCCTCCTATGCAGCTGGGACTACAGGTGCATGCCACCATGCCTGGCTAATTTTTATATTTTTTGTAGAGACAGGGTCTGGCCATGTTTTCCGGGCTGGTCTCAAACTCCTGAGCTCAAGTGATCTGCCTACCTTGGCCTCCCAAAGTGCTGGGGTTACAAGTGCGAGCCACTGTGCCCGGATGAGTATGCCATTTTAAAGAGAAGTGCAGAGGAAAACATTTATCATACTGTCATGCTAAATGGAAAAAGCAAGATACAAAACTATACATACAATATAATTATATAGCACACACATATACTGCAAATATGTAGGCATAATCAAGATACTGGGGAAAAAACAAAATTTTACTAAGCATTAGGGTAAAAATAACTTGTAACACTTTTTATAGTTTATTGTGAATGATTTCCAAATTTAAAAAGAAAGTATTTTCAGGAAAAACCCCCAAATGATCACCAAACTGCACGGAGTGTCTGTGCAGGCGCTCATCATGCCCTTACACATGGAAACCTCAAAGTCAGAAGGAGTTCGTCTCTCTTTCCTACACATGGGACACTCCTCTACTGCCTTACACCAGAAGGGGCCTTGTTCAATCAAGTGGTCGGTCACATACACACACTCTTTAGATGCGTCTGGAGATAGTCGCTTCCATTTATAAATTCTCCCAAAAGTAATCATATGAAAAAATTTATTGTGACAATAGTATTTTTCCAGCAATTATCGCCCCGTGTATCTGAGAGGTGGCTCGTTTTCTTCAACAGAAATCTCCAGTTACTTACATGAACGTAACAGCCTAACAGCGGGAAACGGGGAGGGCCATGCTCTTAGTAAGATAACACCAACATTACCACATATCTTAATGTCATCTTTACCAACCTTAATGGAAAGTTTAAAATACTGGCTGACAAGATGCTTTCTGACTTACAGAAAAGTATTCTGAATTTTTCCTTTGAAAAACTGAAAAGTGACTTCAATTAGCTACTGCTATCAGAGCAGTCCAGCCCTCACTTTTAGCACTTCCCGATTCCTTTCCTGAAACACCAAAATCCCCATCTTAGCTGTTCTTCCTGCCTGTTGAAAGCATTAGCCATGTGCAGTCACTCACCTTGCCAAGAGAGGCTGAAGCACTGCCTTTTAAAGGCAATATTGTGGTTTCCTGCCACAGCAGTGACTAAACACGCAGCAAAGAGAAAATCTTGTCTCATTTTCATTCCTTCTTGGAAACAGGTTTGTTCAACAGATGTTTTTAAAGTTTTGGGGCTTCTATTAATCAATATTTTAATTTTAACTTATTAGAGAATAGACGTAGCCTGATAGGAGTGTGAACAATTGCTTCTTATGAAAGCACACAGTTTAAAGCAACTTTAAAAGACCATCTAATACATTTCCAAAGGCCAAAGAGAGACAACACGTAAAATGATTAGGGTACATGACTATTTTTCCTTAAAAGTCTGAAACAATAGATTATTTGACTTTATTAATTCACTTTGGCATTTCATTAAAAAGTTCTTCCTGATATTAGGGCTAAGTTCTCACTATTGCAATTTGAGCTTCTTAGCCAACCTCAAAGAACATCTAAGGAAACTAATTTCTTTCGCTCTGTCCATTTGCAAAGTGTAGAGTAAGGAATTCTACTCTGAATTGCCTGCTCTGCAGAGCAAATAGACTCAGTTTCCTCTACTTTGTCCTTGGCTCCTACACTGCAATTCACCTCAAGTCATTTTCCATTTTTTTCCTAACAGACCATCTCCACATTTGCGTTTCTTGTATTCACCGAGATTAGAAATAAGAAGGTCCAAAACTACCTACATGCTTTCATTTCGAGTATACGAATGTGTGCGAAGCCTCAGCATAAATACAGGCAAATATGGAGAACTGAAATGTATGGAAAAGACATTTTAAAAATAAAATGTATGGGCTATGTATTATGGTATTCATAAATTGTTTTTCCATTCCTGACTGGGAACAGTGACTCACGCCTATAATCCCAGCACTTTGGGCTGAGGCGGGCGGATCACCTGATGTCAGGAGTTCAAGACCAGCCTGGCCAACATGGGGAAACCCCGTGTCTATTAAAATTACAGAACATCAGCTGGGCGTGGTGGTGCATGCCTTCTGTTAACATTCCTAATGGTAGCATCATATTTTAATTTTATTTTGGAACTTAATGGATGAGTTTACATTTTATACTCAAATATGTGAGCTTACATTTTAATATCAACTAAGAATACACTATGGATATGCCATCTCACAGCTTAGGACCCAATGTACCTAGTTAAACTAAGTCATTGGCATTTTAAATAGTTTCATCACATGAAAACATACCCAAATTGGGCAGAAACATCAAAAGAAAGCAGACACTCCCCAGGAAAGAGAGTTCACGGCAGAACGGTATGGGGAAAGTAAGGAGCGGAGGAGTGACGCTGTTCTTAGATCCTTACCTGACATCTGTGCACGTAATGCAAGTGATGTTACGACTGTTTGTTGCGATCAGGTGCAAAGCTACTGATGTTTCCTTGTCGGAGGTTGGGTGTGCTCCACATTTAAAGAAAAATTCCTGAAAGAAAGATAAATACGATCACACACATGGAGCCCGGCTGCTCATTTCTCCTCTAAACGTTTCGACAGTAAACAATCTCTTTGGGTAAGAGAAGAAATCGGTTATGAGGTGTGAGTTGGAAATAAATCAGCCTGAAGCCTTTCCCAGGAAAGGATGCCCTGTGCCACAGTGGTCAAGGATTCCCTTTCATAAGGGCCCGCGTCTCTGCTAATTATTCCTTCTTCCGCTCTTTAACCGAGGGAGCTAGGGATACGCTGTGACTTTCCTTTAGTGATGCCCCCTTGAAAATAAGTGAGACTAGAAGAATCAGAAAACATGGAGGCAGGAAGAAGCCTCTCACTAAGGAGGAAAGGGAGACATGAAGCCATGACATGACGTGCCCACGGTCAAACAGTGAGAGGTGAAGCCAAGAGCTAACTCGAGCTCCCCGCAGGAAAATCCAGTGCTTTTTCTCCAGCATCACTACATGGTTAATCATTTAGCGGAGTAAGGAATGGAGAGAGCCCTACTGTAAACAGCCACACAAGTACACGTGGACTCCTGGCAGACAGAGAAGTGCAACAGAGGCTGGGCATGGTGGCTCGCGCCTGTAATCCCAGCACTTTGGGAGGCCGAGGTGGGCAGATCGCTTGAGGTCAGGAGTTCAAGACCAGCCTGACCAACATGGTGAAACTCTGTCTCTACTAAAAATACAAAAATTAGCTGGGTGTGATGGCACACAACTATAATGACTATAATTCCAGCTACTAGGGAGGCTGAGGCAGGTGAAAAACTTGAGGTTGCAGTAAGCCGAGATCAACCACTGCACTCCAGCCTGGGTGACGGAGCGAGACTCTGTCTCAACAAAAAGAAGTGTAGCAGAGCATGGCTGTCCCAGCCCCATCTGGAGTCAGCCCCCTTTCTGCCTGGTATCAACACCCCAGCATTCCCAGGAAGACTCTGCTGCCCACCCTCCGTGCCAGGGAGCTGGAATATTCCCATCCAGTATCCCGCTGCTACTTCGTTCCTTTCCCCAGCCCGGTCCTGCCACATACTCCCTCATTTTAGCTTTTCACATTGGTCACAGTCTTTTGATTGATAATATCTCCCTTCCCAAGCACATCTCTTTTTTATTCCTCACTTCTTCCTAACTTCTATTTTATTCTCATTCTCCTTCAGTTCATTCATACACCGAAGTGTTGGCCAGTAATTGCTCTGCTTCTTGTTACATAGTCTGTACGCCTTCTATGATACTAAGGTCTGTGAAGCTAAATTTTCTGCTACAATATGCAAATGAATGGGTATGGCTGTGTTCTAACAAAACCTTATTTACAAAAATATGTGGCAAATTAGATTTTCCCTGCAGGCCACAGTGGTCCAGGATGAGACATTTGTAAAATGCTTTACTCCTATTTATATCCTAACAGTGACTGACATAGGATAGGCATGACATATACTTCTTAAATGATAAACAAGGGACGTAATCAATGCTATTTATCTTTTCTTTAATAAATGCTGTATGTTATCCCCTCACACATTTCACGGCAACATTTAATTTCTTCTTTTCCTATTTATAATTTAACTAACCTCATTCTCCTCTGACATGCGAGACCCTGAGCAGCACCCCTTGGTCTGAAACTGTAGTGTGCATCAGAGTCACGTGGCTGCAAGAGGCCAAGGGCTTGTTAAACCAGAGATCACCAGACCTACCCCAGGATTTTGTAAATTCTGGGATGGCATTAAGATGTGCATTTCCAACAACTTTCCCTGTGATGTCATTCCTCCTGCTCCAGGGACCACACTGTGAGAAACCTTGAGCTTCCACCAGCATCAGAGGCAAAACGAGTAAACTCTAGTTACTATCTCACAAGAGCCCCGCTGTAGTAGGTCGCTTACGATGTCTGAAAACAATGCTACATCACAGGTAAAATATGTGACTCTCAAAAATCTGGAGTGTGTCACTTTTTTTTTTTTTTTTTTTTGAGACAGTCTCACTCTGTCGCCTAGGTGGGAATGCACTGGCATGATCTTGGCTCACTGCAACCTCTGCCTCCAAGGCCTCCCAAGTAAATGGGATTACAGGCATCTGCCATCATGCCAGGCTAATTTTTGTATTTTTGTAGAGATGGTGTTTCACCATGTTGGCCAGGCTGGTCTTGAACTCCTGACTTCAGATGATCTACCTGCTTTGGCCTTCCACAGTGCTGGGATTACAGGTGTGAGCCTCTAAGAGAAGTATCCCAAAGCCAGGGATTTGGAACCCAGGCTGTTCTTCACTACAAGTCTCACCAATCCCAGGTGGTCTAACTTGGTTAACTAAATCTATCCTATCTGGGGCAGTGGACTATGAGCCGGCCCTCACACCTAGAGTCCTCAGCCCATGGAGGTGTGTGTGTGGTGTCTGGCTGGAGTGGGCGGGATGTCCAGTGTGTGTGATGGGCCCAGGTTCAGGCATGCCTGTGGAGTCCTGTCCCTGAGTCCAGGACCTTCCCCACAGCAGCATGGAAATCATGCTGGCTGATTTTTTTTTTTTTTCCCCCTGAAAAAACAGGATCCTATTCTTTTTACTCAATCTTTTGAAATTCGACAAATCCTTCAATGGCCAGCTCAAGGGTATTGAGAAAGAGATTTAAAACAATGTCTGACCACCAAAACAAAAAGTCTAAAGGACATGACTGACCTTTGTAAAATACCCTGAGCTAGCTACAACTGTTTTTTGCAGACATGAAAAAAATCCTCATTCATAACAAAGTAATTCCTCCAGAATAGCTGAGTTGGCAGGACTATTGAGAAGCTATTTCATATACAGATAAATAGAAAGCATTTATGTTTTTTTCTTAGCTTACAGGAAGCTGCAGTAGACATTCAGCTAACAAATCACAAATTGTTCTAACACCAGATAAAATTCAGTCCGATAAAAGCCTTTTTATTGGGGGTAGGTGTTTATAGATAATGGTGTAAGTTACAGATAGTTGAAAAATTCTAGTAATTCATATAGTGTGATAAAACAAAAATGCACATTGCCAACCCTATATTAAATATGTATGTCTCATCAGTAAATTTCAGTGCTTTCTCTACCAATTTTTATTAAAGAACATTTTTGTGTAGCACTAGAATAACTGGAAAGAATTGTGAAGGATCTGAGATTTTACCCAGCTTGCAAGTTAGCAAGCTAGTTTGCCATGGTATCATGAATGCTGACAGAAGACAAGAGACTCCTGGATCAGAGACAAAAGAATGCAGAACTCAGAGCACACATAGAAAGAAGCATGAGTATCGTATGACACCAGTTCCCCTCCACACATCTCTCTCACGGTGGAACCAGCTGGACTAAGTCAGATTCTGCAGGTGCAGTGGTTTTGCATCACAGCTGAGGACTCTGAGCTTAGGAAACTCAAGTCTTCTATAAGTAGTTCTAAGCAAGCCATCTTTTCATCCTGAAGGGAGACATTATCTTTATCATACAGGATAATAAGCAAATCTGCCTTTTGATCTGGAGAGAGACATTATCTTCTCTACTTCCAAGGTCATTTGCTCTACAACTTCCTTGAAAAGATGGGTCAGAACAAGTTAGTGCCTCCCTCAAAGAGGAGCAACACATGAGAGCCCCATGGAGCATTGCTTCTCAGTAATAACACCTTTTCTTTCAGGCTAATGAGCCGAGTGAGCTGGTCATTTCTGCTCCTATACAACCAGTGGGCTAAGACTGTTGAAGTCTTTTCCAACATTTCCAATCTGTATTCAAAACCAGCAGACAATAAAGCATCACACAATAGAAGTTAGAAGGGCCTTTTTCCAAACTTCCACCTTGGGTGAGAATCGCTTGCTCACATAGGAGTGTCATCTCACAGACAGTTGCATGATTCTTTGGAATTAACTATGAATTCTGTTTTATTTCTCTTAATTACTCAGTTAAAAAAATTGAGGAAGTCAAAGCCAGGAAAGTCTTCTAGCTAGAGTCCCAGAAGGCTGGTCAGAAGACTGATACCACTGTACCACTGTGAGGTCACTGAGGCATGGCAGGGCCCAAGCCAAGTGGCCCAAGCAATATCTGGAGCTATGATGGGTGACTGTGGTTATGCCCAAGGCAAGGCTGCTCAAGGTGGCATTGTTTGAGCATGTATAGTGGTTGGCTGGAGGAAGCTGCTTTTAGGTCACTAGGGAAGCAGCCCTCTGGGGAGTAGGAGGGGCGTGTCCTCCTCATCAAGAAGACCAGCTGTTAATTCTAGTGTGGCTTGAACAGAATCCTTTACTGTGGGTAAAATGAATTTCAGAGGGGCCCACCCCACCTCTTACAAATGCTAGGTCACACATAAATCAGCTATAAAAAGACACATAACAAGTCCTAAATATATAAGTACATAAATTCCCCCACCTACCCAGGAGCTGTAATTCCCAGGGGCGTATTCATTTCATCTGGATACAAATATTCACTTCTAGGAAACCATAATTAGCTAGGGAGATAAAATCTGTGACATCAAATGGCCAGTTTTGTTTTGTTTTCAAATAATATCTGAAACGATTATTTTTTATACTTGAAAAAAAATAAGACCTTAGCAAATGTGGTTGGCTTAACATTGTGACACTGTTGAATGCCATAAGCGTTTTCCATTTTATTATTTATTTGAGACAGGGTCTTGTTCTGTAATTCAGGCTGGAATGCAGTGGCATGATCTTAGCTTACTGCAACCTCTGCCTCCTGGGTTCAAGCAATTCTCATGCCTCAGCCTCCTGAGTAGCTGGGATCATAGCTGTATGCCACCACACCGGTGAATTTTTGTATTTACTAATTTAGTAAAGATGGGGTTTTACCATGTTGGCCAGGCTGGTCTCGAACTCCCGACCTCAAGTGATCCGCCTACCTTAGCCTTTCAAAGTGCTGGAAACACAGGCTAGAGCCATCACGCCTTGCCCGTTTCCCACCTTATTATTATTAAATGGAAAACCCAACAGTTGTATTCCTTAAGCTCTTAGAAGGGTACTCACACTTTTACCATTTCTCTGGACAAGGCTGTGAT